ACATAATTCAGTGGGTCAGTGGTGGAAACAGAAAGGAGTACTAGGTATTCAAAAGAGAGACTTTATACCTTCATCAAGGCAGGGACTGCAACTAGCATAGTGCCTTCACCCTGCAGATACGAATCTATAGAGATGTTTTAAGAATGTATGAAGTCATGAAAGTGAAGGCTCAGGAAAACAAAAATTACAAGATCCCACTTCATGATTTACAGTAGTTCCCTCATATTTATAGGAATATATCCCAAGGTCTCCAGTGGATATCTGAAACTACAAATAGTAACAAACCATAATGTGTGTGTGTTTGTAAATGTTTTGTCCTGTACATACATACCTATTATAAAAGTTGGCACAATGAGAAATTAGCAATAACTCTTAATAAATTAGAACAAATCAGAACAATTACTGTATAAAGTAAAATAAATTTACTTTTTTTTTTTCAGTACTGGTATTGAACTCAGGACCTGCGTACTGAGTTATATTCCCAGCCATACCCCACTTTTGGAAATTTTTTGAGTCAGAGTCTCTTTCTGCTAAATGCCCAGCTGGACTCAAATTTATGATCTATCTACCTCAGCCTCCCAAGTCATGGGATTGCAAATGTGTGTAACCATGCTTAGCTAAAATAAGAGCTACTCAAACACAACACTGTGATATTGCCACAGTCTACCTGACAATGCCATTGCATATATATATATACACACACACACACACACACACACACACACACACACACACATGCAAAATAGGGTAACATATATATGGCATAGATATGTTGGACAAAGGAATGATTCAAACCCTGTGCAGGACAGAATGGGAAGGTGTGAGATTTCATCACACTGCTCTAGTAACTCATAGTGCAGAAAAAGAAACCGTGAATAAGAATGGGCTACTGGGATTTCTTCTTTTTTTTTTTAATGCTTTAGTTACCTAGATAGTCAGTTCCTTTAGGAATATTGAACATGTGGAGAATATAAATTTGATCCTGGAAAGATAAAGAGTTCAATCTTAGTGGGGGTAAATTTGATAGGTAGTAAACAACTGACAATCTGAGATGGGGCCTTGGAGAGAGGACAAGGGTGGAATTTTAGAAGAGGTCTAAAGCAGTGAATAGGATTTCACTGTCAGAGGGAAAAATGTTGAATCTTTTGGCATGGCTGAGGTGGTAGAGGGCTGATGTAGACATAAGGAGAAGTAGCTTAATGTGCAAATCTGTGAGTAAAGTGTTTGCTTGAGAAGAGGGAGAAAGAAGAAAATCAGATAAAGCCAAAAGGAATTAAATAAATATATATTCAAGAAGAAAAAGAATCTCAATAATGAAAACTATGAAATTGTAGAGAAGATTGCAGTGTTTTAAGAGAATCCAATGAATGTGCACTGATCTCAGAAAATGACTGTAATTTAATTTCTAAAAATTAACACATTCAGTAACATTGTAAGGAAGAAAATGATAGTAAGGCATTGTCTCTGGGTCCTCAAGGGTTTGGGGGACAGTTGCTACCTGATGGGGGTTCATCTACTTTCACCTCAAAGCCAGGTGCTAGCATCATTCCTGTGTCAGAGGACCCAGGATAATAAAGATTTCTCTTCCCTTTATCCAAATAGATGTGCCTGCCCTACCAGCTTCCTTATGCTCTATGTTGCTAAGGATATAGGGAGACTCCCAAAGAAGATTGTTGGTCAAAGCTTTTGATTTGGCACTCAAAAGTTTGGAAATCTCTCCATATGTACAAAGACTTAAGGAGATTAACTAAGATGAAATACTAAGATCTGCTATTCAACACAGGAGATTTTCCTCAAAATCTCTAACACTCAAATAACCATGTGTTGTCACCAGACTCAGTGACCTCCTTGTCTTGTTCTTCCTTACTCTTCACCACAGAAATCCTAAAAGTTTGTTTGAGATGTGTCCTGCTTGTTATCAACTTATTAAGAAATGTAAATCAGATACCTGTCTTGGATCCTGCCTTACTGGCCAGCCATAAATTTCATCTTCTGGGAGAAATGATGTGATTCATTCTCAATAATCGGAAATATTCATTAACAGAATTATTCAGGTTTTAGAAATCAAAAGGTATTGCAGGTGCTCCAGAATGACAAAAATAAAGGACAAGTTATTTACAATTTACAATGAAAGCTCTGAGCTTTCATCATTTTAAAATTATAGAATGAGCTTTAAGACAGGAAAGTATATATTTGTTTATATAGGTCTACATGTAAACTAATTTCATAGTATTTATTGTCTGTTTGTTTTATTTTGTTTTTTGGTCCCAGTTAAGTCATGTTTGTTCTTGTTCATTAAAACTGTGTGGTTAATTTGATGTTAATTTTCCGGCTGCCCATCCATATCCCCAAGCACACCTGCTGCTTTTAGGACACGTGCTACTGTGATATTTCTCCAACTGGAACCTGCACTAGAGTCACTTGGAGGCCTTTACAAAACACAGATCACTGTGCCTCATCCCCCGTATTTTCAATTCAGTAAGTCTACAGTGAAGCCTAAGAATTCATATTTATTCACAGCAAGTTCTCACATAAGAGTTCCCCAAATTTCTGGTTCATGGTTCCATCAATGTTTAAGTAATTGTTTTCAACATCCCTTGGGTATAACTGCCAGACTTATCTGGTAACCCTTTTCCCAGGTCAAAAGAAATTTCTCACAGTTGTATTTATTAGTTCAGTCAAAATAACTTGATATTTATATTTCAAGAACTTAGTAACCATGGGTTTTTTTGTTTTTTGTTTTTTGTTTTTGTTTTTTTGTTTTTTTTTTTTTTTTTTTT